TTCTTTTACAGTGCTTTTAAGATGCTGCTTTGAAGATTTCCACAGTGCTTCAGCTCAGCCTCATAACCAAATTCTTAAAAGCTACTTTAGGAGAGCTGGCAACACAGCTTTTAAAAAATAATTTCATGAGTAGAGTAATATTTATCCGAACATTGCATTTAAAATAATTTAAGAAAATCTCAAACTTATACATAATATTTGATGGTTTATGCATGAATAAGTGTATTGACAGCAGCTAAAATTACTATTACCAATTTCTTTACTTTCATAATCTATTTTTGACAGTGTGGTTTTATAGATTTCAATCTCTGGCAATCCATTATTTCATTTGTATTTGTGTGAATCAAGTATCTTTCATTCCTTTCACAATTTGTTTCTAAATTCTTTACATATCTGTAGCTAATTTAACATGTAACAACATAGTGGTGCATCTAACTGAAATTCAGTATGTACTAGCAAGATTAGTTTCAAAACTATTAAGTTATTAAAGGTGTATTTTTATAGAAGCAAGCTTGAGGAACCAAAACTAGTGAGTACTAAAAGCAACTGGTTAATTTTGTTGTATTCAGTCTTTCTTCATCTTTTACCTCATAGTTAAAATTGTAAAAGGCTTTTTAGATTGTAATAATGAAAAATAAATACACCTACACAGTTGGCTTAATTGATACTCAGTCCATATCTCCTACATAACAAACATGCATTTGAAAAGAGAGCATAACTTATCTTTCATCTATCTTAACTAAGGGCAGTTATGATGATTCAAAAGTCAACTTCTACACTAGAAATATTATCACTTAACTCCTAATTGATACTTTCTCTTACCATGAAGCCTTTTTACAGTACCCTAAAAGAACTACAGCTAAAAAAAACCCCAAACTTGCATTTTTCATATTAAACGTAGGTTCCACTGGCTCAAGGAATAATGTCACATCTGAAATGTTCTTGCACGCCACCAGACCATTTCTAGAAGCTTGGCCTATTGGGTATCTACTAAACACCAACAGAAAAACTTCTCCTATAGTGCTGTAACTATCACCAATGGATGACATCTTTTGGAGCTGCTGTTTCAGGCCTGATCACACAGGTATCACCAAGGGAAAAGCTTTTTCTTTGCATAAAAATGAAAGAAGCATCATTATACACAGCTTCACTTTTCGCGCACGTTGGAAATTACTGCATCCAAGTATTTTAAGCAAGAAATCATCTAAGTTAATTCACTAACATTTTCTTATAAGGAATAAACATTTTTGTAATATAAAGGGAATGTAGATTAAAAACTTACTGTAAATTGGTGCATACTACATAAAATTGTGGGTAAAATACAGTTAAGCATTGGAAAGAGTGGATTCCAGTCTCATTTGGTATTCATCCAACTAACTCCTCACATTTTACCAGCTGTCCTTTATAAGGTATCACTAATGCTCGAGTGGGCCTCAGAGACTCAGACTGCATGGAAAATTATACAACTGTCATCACCGCTCTGCCCAGTGGGGGATTCAGCATTGTTTTGCAAAATGACAGAGCTAGACCCTGCTTATTTTCTGTATGACTAGAATAATGAAAGTGAAACTAATCTGAATAAAAGTATTTTTAAAGAAAATTCAAGAAGACACATATTCGTATTTTGCCATATAGAGTATTTCCATAGATTTTGGGGACGTTCTTTTTATGGGCACTTAAATGGTAGCTTTTCATTATAATATAACCATTTTAATGCAGGAAATCCCTCAGGCATTACTGAGCTGGGATCCACACTGCATCTATAGTTAGAAAAGCAATCAAAGAAAATTTAAAAAGGAGACTGAAGCCTTGTAATCCATAATAATGTTATTAATCCATTCATCATGCAAGTATTATTCTACTCAACACTGAGTAGACTTTTGAAGCTCCACATTAATACATTGAGTTCAGAAAACACCGGTAAGTGTATCTTCACAACAGTATAAGTAACATTTGAGTTATGCATAAAATGTCTTACCTTGAGGAGTTCAAGCCCTTTAAAACAGAGCTTCAAAAAGGCATTTTTAGTATAAGCGATTGATTCTACCAGTCCATAGGTGGTACATCAAAAATTAACATGGGAAATGAATTGCTACTTCTTATTTTCTAAATATTGAGTAAGCCAGTAAATTCAGATTAGACCACATTTTACCAAATTATAACGTGCTTGCTTCCAGGATACATTTTCTTCCTCTGTTCCAGTAACTACTTAAGCCATACCCCACAAAATGACAAAGACCTTATGAAAATAAATTCTGAAAGAGCTTAGAAGCCTGGGAAGAACCAAATTCTACAGTCAAGTCCTTTTTGCTGTTTCATTCATAGTCACCCAGGACTCTCGCTCAGCCAAGAGTTTATTGGATTTACTGAAAGAAGTGCCCTGCAGTAATGCTTATTCTGTTATTCCTCATAAAACTGTAAAATGTGCAGCACTCCAAACTATAAAAAATAGCGGAAGTTCAGTTAACTTGCTTCACCAAAAAAAAAGGCTTGTTGGAAAAGAGATTTTCAGGCATAGTGGCAAATTATGGGATTTCATAAAGATATTCCATAGGGAACCCATGGTTTGCTAAAAAAACCAAAAGATAAAACTCTATGGGAGCCTCCACTATGTATGTCAATAATTTTTTTGTAAATCATGTCTACTTCATGTTAAAATTCCATTTCCGTATAAGAAACTATTATGTTTCTTTCCTCTAAGAATAGTCACATCTTCAAGAATATTCTCTTCACTGCAGTTTAACCTTTTTTCACTGCATTTGGACACAAAAAAAAGCAATGGCTAGGGACTTAGGTCTAAACATATGCTTATATTTGACATAAGCCTTTAAAGTTTTTCTGTTGAATTTTATGGATACTTTCTTTCAAATGAAAATTTCTGAGTTTGATGTGACATATTTCAGAGAGACTCCCTCCTAAAATGATTTTTCCAAGCAAAACAATTAAAAATAAGATGAAAACTTAGTGTGACTGGGAAATCCTATTATGTGATCTAATTTAAAATTAAAACTCAGCAGAGTCTTCATGATTCCAAGGCTATGCTGATTGCCATTTGAAGCGGGAACTGTTTTTCCCTAATGCACAAGCGATGAAGTGCATGTAAGGCTTAGAGGAAAGTTACCTTATCTGAAGTATCAGATATAGATTACTGCTGGAGTCAGCATGCCACACTAGTTGGATCCATACACTCTGTTCCAATATAAGGAATTAAGTTTCCCTGATGTCACAAATTGAACAGATAATGCAATTAACATCTCCTTTGAAGTTCACATTGACCAAGTAACTGCTAGAATGAGTTGGCAAAACTTTACTCGAGTCACTGAAGTGATCTCGGCTCACCCAGACTGGGACTTCAGCTTTGACATTCTATAAACTGCTGAGGGGTATTTAAGATGCTGAATCCCTAGTGGGATATTTATAAATCAGTATTTATTCTGCAATGTAAATATAGAGATCCTGCACTTCTGTCTGGAATTCCCCAGATATATCGGGGATGTGTCAGAATTGCTGCATATTCTCTGAAGAATTGACTCTCTCGTGTGCAAGAGCTATTAGGCCACTCTCTGAAAGGCTGACGGACATCTGGAAATCCCAGACAAGTGGCATGGTCTCATTTTCCTACCTCAGCACTTCTACTGGAAGCAAACTCCAGGTTGGAAAAGAGGTCCTGTCTAAAAGATCAGATATTTGGGCAATACTAGAGAAGGGGAGAGATCTGTTACAAAATGTTCCATTTGACACTAGTTACTCTAGAATACAAGACTGCACATGAATGCTGAAGCACTATTGGGAGTTTACTGCTCATTTTAATACAGAATTAGCTTAATAATCCTTTGCTGAGAAGGTACTGTTCACAGCTTTATAGTTTATAATATTTAAACAATACTGAGACTGTATACTATAAAGTGTAGGACCATGAAGAACTTACTTGAAGACAAGGCATTGATAGCTGCTCCTTTGGGACTCTTCAACTAGCGTAATTTATAATATCACACTATGTGACACTACAATTGACATGTTTATGGTTACACCAATAATTCAAGACTTTCAAGCATTTAAACAGAGGAAGTAACTAAATGATTCATTTAAAAAAGCAGAGAATGGAATAAAGCCAACACTTCTATCTTCTTGAAAAAGAAAAAAAATTAACATCTTGGCCACTTTACTCAAAGACTGTAATTTTAAAAAGCGTTAATATTCCTTGGAGATTAAAATACAGTGATGAAAATACAATTCTTAGAATTAAATAAATTTTACTTGCACTAAAAGAGAAAGAATTGGTGAACAGAAAAATTGCATGTGGAGAGGGAAACATCTCACCCTTGTCAATGTTCTATGGGATGAGTGTTGAAAACTAGACTAATGACCAGGTAGAGAACTCCAAAAATGCTTAGAAGAATAGATATTGAAAAGTTATGATTGGTATTATTAAACATAAGAAAGTAAGGAGTTTAACTTTACATACGAAAGAAGTCCAACTAATAAAAACATTGATACAGTTCTATATTGATAAGCAAAACTATCTATGGTAATACAGTAAGTCAAGATTAGTAACCACACAATATATATATTACACAGTGATCTACAAAGAAACATAATGTGTATCTCAAAAGGTCATTTCATATTCGCAAGATGTCTAAATACCTAGAAATTCTTCTGAAGCAACTAGTCTGCACCTTCTTACCCCCAAGAGCATAAATGTTAAAGCCTCTTTATAATACCATAAAACAGGTGCTGATTTTTCTGTCTGCCTTTCAAGGAAGAATTAATGCATTTATCTGTTTGAATAAATAGCACCTCTTTTATTCTCATGCTAGTTTAGCTATAGCTAGACTTTTTAACTTCTTTCTCTGAAGACTCTTCTTTTGTTTTATTATTGTTGAGAATAATGGCAGTGCCATGAGAATTGTGTTCACGCTTGAAACAAAACCTCTTTCTTTCACTATCTGGAGAGTACTTATACAAAGTGCCCTGATTCAACTGAAGAGAAATATGCTTACCTTCTGTTGGTGATGTCTTCAGATGTCTGCAGAGCCCCTCTGTTTCCCCATATGTCTCTTTAATTTTTACTACTGCTTCTGTTCCTCGAAGTTCCATGAGGGAGCGCAGTTCTTGCAGTGTGCACCCAAACTCTCCTGCATGGTTGGCCTCATTTCTTTGGTTCTTGGAATAAAAATCACTATTTGTCATGTCACCCATTGTTGCTGATTATATTGCTCCACTTGTTACAGTTGATACAATCCTAAAACTGTTTAAAAACTGAAGGAAAGGAATCTTGAATTCCAACCTAATAAATTAAAAAGAATCCAGTGTGTGTCCAGCAAGCGATGTGAAGAATGCCTCTGGTGTGCAAGGTGTCCCTGACTGACTAGTGGTCCGCAAAACGGCTGCTTTCAAGGCTGCAGACCAGCTCCACTCCATTCACCATTTCCCATTATGCTGCACCCAAGCTGTAGAATCTACATGGTCATTTCTTCCTCTGGACCTTTGGGAACAAACAGAGAGGACTCATTACAAGTGTGAGCAATAACACTTTACAAAGATGATTTCGAATTTATTCTATCACTGCAGTTTGACCTGTCATTTAAGAAAAGCTATGCAGAAACACTATACAGATGTCCTGTAAAATGCTGCAGGTAGTCAGAGCTAGCATCGACAATAACGCTAGCTCCGTCTTAGAAAAAGCTCTCTACAGCTAAAGCACCAATAGTAGGGTTGCTTACTTTAATCAAGTCCCAAGAGCATCCGCTAAATGAGATGGCTCATGAATATTAATAAATAAGCGACTGGTCCAGCATGCTAGATGCACCTTCAGTATGTGCTCTGGTTCATACAGCCATATCAATCTTTCATCTGACAAGAACAAAGACTGTCTGATAAAGGTAACAAAAATCAGCTAAACACTACTAGTTGCCATAATGGGTTAAAGTAAAACTCTTTTTCAGTGCAAGGACAGTAAAACTTGTGGAAAAACTAAAGCCACCATTACAAATTCAGAATACATTTAAATACATTACATCTTGCAGCCTGCCTTCTGTGAAAGTAAGCATGCCCCAGAAAAGAGATAAAACACTTGAGTGTTTTGAACAGCCACAGCTATGTCTCATGTAAGTAAGGCAGCTGTTGGGTTGCTTTCCTTCAGCACTGCCTGCAAGCCCACTCACCAACAGCCGGCACAGCTTCGCCTTGACAGCTAAAACCGTGCGATCTTGGAACCAATGGACACACACAAATACACATGCACACAGGGGGATGTTGGTTTTTTTTCTCTCTCTCTCTTTTCTTTTTTTAACCATGTGCAGTGTTGAACAAGTCCTATTTGGACCATCTGGGAGACAGTTGATTACTTGCTAAAACCAGCCTTTAAAACCTGTTTCCTCTTCCCGTATTCTAATGAAGTTGGTTTAAATACTGCTGAAACCAGCTATTATATTTGGCACACAGAGTTTTAACAGAGATTAAAGGTTTCTTTTTTGCCTCAAGCAGGTTGGTGCATGCACGCTGTCTAATCTATAGGTCTCAGAATAGTTTTCTCACAACAAAAAAGATCTTTAAAAGAGCACACCACCAGCCTAATGATTGACAAACCTGTCATAGTCAAAGTGCATATTTTGAACTTTCTAGGTACAGTAATACACAGCAGAAACGAGTACACACATAAAAAGGATCCCAAAGTGTTTCATGTCCCAATTTTATATTTGTGCAACAATTTTGACCTCCTGCCCACATGCAGTAAACATAACACAGAGGCTTGGTGTTTCCACTGATCTAACTGCGTTGCCATTGCTCTGCATGCAATAAAGATCAGGCCCCCTGCATGCATTAATTCCTCTTTGCCCACAGTGACATTATCTGCTTTGGAGCTGTCTAATATACCTTACTCAATTAGACAAACTGAACCTGTACCAGCCCTCTTATTCACAGATTAAAATCTCAACATTACTTGATTTTTGTCGAGGAACAAAAAAAAAGGGAAGTACCAAAGTTTCACTACAATATTACAGAATGCAATTAAAATAGCAGTCAACTGCTACATGCTTCTTCTACGCGCCCTATTTATTGACATAGATTCGTGGTGGGTTTGACCTTGGCTGGATGCCAGGTGCCACCAAGCCGCTCTATCACTCCCCTCCTCAGCAGGACAGGTGGGGAGAAAATGAGATGGGAAAACCCCCAAAAAACCTCATGCGTAAAGATAAAGGCAGCTTAGTTTAAAAAAAAAAAAAAAAAAGAACCAAATTTTTTATTCTGTACTTCCCATCAGCAGGTGATGTGCAGCCACTTCATGGGAAGCAGGGCTTCGGTACACGTAGCAGTTGCTCCAGAAGACAAACGTAAATAACGAATGTCCTCCCTTCCTCCTCCTTTCTTTTAGCTTTTATTGCTGAGCCGACATCATATGGTATGGAATATCCCTGTGGTCAGTTTGGGTCAGCTGTCCTGGCTATGTCCCCTCCCAAGATCTTGCCCACCCCCAGCCTGCTTGTGATGGGGGGAAAATGTTGGACAGCCTACCGATTCTACCGAAACACTGCTGTGTTACCAACACCTTTCTAGCTACCCATACAAAGCACAGCACCACGAGGGCTGCTATGGGGAAAACTAACTCCATCTCAGCCAGACCCAATACAATATTCTAGTGCTAGCAACTGCCAAACTTGATTTCACATATTGCTTTTCCAAGTTGACAAGAAGAGAAGAATTTCAGCACAAAATGCAGCTTACAGCGAGCAATAAAGAGAAACTGGAAGTAGTAATTAAAAAGGGCCTTTATTTGCCAAGCAATAGACAAGGAGGAGATACTCTGCTCTGGCAGCAACACTCAACTTTCCATGCTTGCATGCAGGACAGTGTTTGCAGTACCAATTCACTTCTAGATTAATTCCCTATGTATAGCATGCAGAAAAGACCTTACTCACTGTTCCTTTACCTGTTTTTGAACAGGATGGATCAGTATTCTGAATAGATATAACATCAGCCTGTAGATCATTTTGAAAGAATTGCAGGATAGAAACATCACAGATGTCTAGTAAAACACACTTCATCCCAAGAGGCACTGAATCACCACAACCTCCACTGATGATATCGCCCCCTTTCCTAAAATCAGCATTTCAGACTCTTCCTGGTTTCATCAAAAAGCAGACTCAGATTTGATCATGAAAAAGAATACCCAGAAGAATGTTGTGAAAAAATGAAGCATCAATAATAATAATAATGAACAGCTAAAATTACAGACTGCTATTTACTTCCAGCGGGAAAAAAAGAATCTATTCCTAAGATAAGTACACTTCAAGATCTTGAACACAGCCATGATGTCAAAAAACAAACAAACAAACAAAATACCCTATTCACCTAACAGAGATTTTATAGAGCCTTGCTGGTCCTATGGGCTTTTTAAACATTCCTCTAATAAAATAAAATTAGTCTTAAACTGTTCCATAACACCACAGTGAAAAAACAATGACTATAGTATTTTCTGAGGAGAACCACCTACCAATTTCATTAGTGATGCAAAGAGTACTAAACTCAGTGTCAAAGATGTTTTCTGTGTTATTTTTCTGTGGGATGTGTCCACCACTCTCAATCAAAGCATCTCTTTTGACTCACTGTGCCATCACCACACATTAACATATTTGCTTCTATTCTTAGAAATTCATTGTCATTTGGCAGCAACGGCAAGACAGTGTTGTTGCTTTTTAGCATGTTTGAGTCATTTGCCTGCTTAATTTTTTATTACACCTTCAATTAAATATTAATCAATAAACAACAAATATGAAGTTTACACTTCCTTCAGTGCAAAAACAAATCACTCTGAGTTTGTGCTCTTCATGATTCACCTAATGTTACCACTCCACGCAAACACCATCTCAAGTTTTTGAAAGGCAGATGGTAAAGTATAGAAAGCAGAAAGCACGACTAATATTATTCACTGATAATGCATCTCTCTCATCCCATGGAATGAGATACACAGGCTTCATTTGATCCTTGAATCTCTTTTATGAAAAGTCCAGGAACCTTGCCAGAGTGCATACCAGGTTAGCATGACTGACACATGACCACCTCACCCTTCCCGAGTGGTTAATATTCCTTTAACAAAAGCTGAGGAATAGAAAACTTGAGACTTGTATATGGCAATATTCCCTCATCAGTGGGGCTACAGGCTTTGCATCTCCACAATAGATCAAATTACTAGAAGGGGGTGAAATTTAAAGTCTCCTTTACAAGAAATCCAAGTGTTGCACTAGGTTTGGGTGGGGTTTTTTTGTTTGCTGTTTTTTGGGGGGAGGAGGTTAGGGAAGGGATTATTTTACAACACACACTCAAAACACTTGATATTTTCAGGATGTGGATGTATTATAGGTGAACTACCAAGAAACCCTGATTTTAAAAAAGCAGGTGATACCTGTTCATTTTCAATCAAAATGAACAGCTGATATTATTCAGGAACAATATCAGTGAAAAACCCTCACCGATTCGATTCAGATCTACCATGCAGCTGTTCTTTTGCCTCACAGGAGTTGCAGATCCAGACACTCTCTGCAGAGAAACAGGCACTTCTAAACTAAGACTGATCTCTTTCTAATATGGACATCTAAATTAGGTGAACTACATTTCAAGCTAGGGGTGCCTGCTGGTTATAGGGCAGGTCTGTATAACTAGTTCACAAAAAGATATCCAATGGCACTTGAAACAAATCCCACTGCTATGACCTAAGCTATCTGAGGAATAACATCTCCAGCAGGCGAAGGGAACAAGGCTGAGCAAACCACAAATTTCAGCAGCAGCAGGTGCACTGCGCCAAGGGTGGGAAATAGCCAGGGAGCTCAAGGACTTCTCCCTTTCTTTTCAGGAGTCCTAGGTCCCTCAGGGCCTCCAGGCCAAAATTTCTCAACCTCTTTAACCCAAGGTATGCTCAATCTCTTTCAGTCCACAAACCATCACCTACAGTGTACTTCAATGGCTTTAATTTATAACCAAATGCCTCCTAGGCCACAAAAAGCCACCATCCCCAAAAACCAAGAGCACAGCGTTTGACACCATTCTAGCACACAATCATTTCATCCTCAGTTACACATATTTGGTCTCACCATTCCCTATGACAATAATTTATAGGGAAACCAGTCCTCCACACACACATGTTCAGCAAAAGAGAAATAAAAATCTCCAGTAACTGAAAACTAATTTCACACACAATGTTA